GGTCCGTTCCCCGAAACGTCGCCAATGACATGTAATTTTTATTAATTTTAAGGCCACACTATTATTTACGAATGTCGCTGTGCTATTATCTGTGCCTGGGCACCACTGCCAACGCAGCACCACCACCAAAATGTTTTCTATTTTTAACATCATCAGCCATTGATGATGCTAATGCTGCAATGTAATTGAGTGGAGTTGCTTATGAGTGTGGATTGTAATATGAACTATTTTCATCTGTTCAAATAAAGTCTTCGCGTATCTTATCTCGATAATCGTTATCATTGGTATCACTGTACTGCGTTACAGCTTGCAAGTGTTGTAATTGTCAATCGCTGTGCCATTATTATCGGCGCGCACCTCATTAAATAAGGCTGCAATTTTATTTGGTATTGTAAAGCGTCACTTATCATCGCCAGCATCATCGTATCGGCAGCAGCAGCGTCATCATCAGCGTTATCATCTGCATCATCACATCAGCAGCATCTGCAGCGTTATCATCAGCATCATCATCAGGAGCAACGTCATAATCATCATCATAATCAGCATCATCGACATCAGCATCATGATCAGGAGCAACATCATAAGCAGCATCAGCAGCATCATCACATCAGCATCATCATCAGCAGGAGCATCATCGACATCAGCATCATGGGAGCAACATCATAAGCAGCATCAACAGCATCATCACATCAGCATCATCATCAGCAGGAGCATCATCACATCAGCATCATTATCAGGAGCAACATCATAAGCAGCATCAGCAGCATCATCATATCATCATCAGCAGCAGGAGCATCATCGACATCAGCATTATGATCAGCATCAGCAGCAGCGCTGCCGCCTGGTAGGGTTCCGCGTTCGCGTCTTGCTGATGCGCTCCACCCGTGGCTGCGTAACCGCCGCGCGTTGATTCGGCGCCGCGATGTCCGACGTTTCGCTCCCACGTGCTGGAAGCGTCTTCTTCGGAAAGCTGCGGTTTTTTTCTTTTTCAGGAAGCTCCCCAAACGTGGAACGAAACGTCGGACTGTAATAATAATAATGATCTAAAAATAATGACTGTAATATGTTCACAGTAATACTAACAACCCCACTGATGAAATTATGATTTAAAGCTTTCGTGACTGCAGGGATTCATATTATTGGTTCTTTCGGTAAAGTCACGTAGAAGGGAACAATACAATATTTTTATTAATAAAATATTTGTATTATTTTATTGTTTCCCTTCTATGTGACTTTACCGAACCAAGAATATGAACCCTACTGATGGTTATTCGGGTTTGGTTGAAGGATGTTCACTGTTTAAATGCCACGGCATCCCATCAGCGCATGATGATTATAATAATACAATGCATGAATAATGCTGATGATTCTAATAATTCAACACATTAATGATGATGCTGATGATTAATAATGACGATGATTACAATAATAATATAATACATGAATAGTGCTGATGTATGTGTTGAACTTATTTCGCATCGTACGTAGCCAACCGTGCTAACCGGAGGTGCGGGGGAAGGACAACAAACTAAATACACAAAGCAGTTCGAAAGAGATGAGCTTGTTAATCGAGATGATTTAAAAGTGCATAGCTCCAGTGGCTTCCTAATATCGGAAGGAAGAGAGCGTTCCAGACGGCCGCAGAAACACACCTGAAAGCGCGCGATGCAGTGACCGTCTGATTAATAATAACGATAATGATCACGAAAATAATAATACAACACATGAATGATGCCGATGATTAATAATGAGGATCATGATTGCAATAATACAATACATGAATAATCCTGATTATTACAATAATACAATAATGAATACTATTTGATTATTTTATTTTATACCTACGTGACTTTACCGAAAGAACCAAACAGTATTCCTGCAGTCACGAAAGCTTCAAATCAAGATTACATGAATAATGTTGATGATTACATTAATCACATCAACACATGCATAATGATGATTACTAATGACGATGATTTAAATAATAATTGCACGTGAATAATGCTGATCATTGATGATTATGATGGGTACAAGAATTGTACAACACGTTAATAATTCTGATGTTTATTAATAACGGCGATGATGTGCTACTCCGATGTGTTTTTGAGTTGTACATCGGCATTATTCGGCACGATGTCTGACGTTTCGGCGCTGAGTGTTATGTGTGTTTAAGAAAGCAATTGAGGCCTCGTCGACCATCTCTTGTTTACAGCCCTGCAGAGACAGCGGTGGAAATTCCACATTTATATGGCGGGGGGGGGGGGGGGGTGCGCCAATTTTCCGGACGACAGCCGCTGTTGACTACACCACAGAATTTGTACCTATTTTATCGACCACGGAGGGAGAGATGATGGTCCGGGTCAACTCCATAACCAGGATGTGAACTCGCAACCTTCCGATTGTGAGCGGCTCGGCTCTGCCAATGAGCCACCTGGCCGGTTTGTGTCCGTGTGTACCCACGTGTGTCTGTGTGTACTCACGCGTGTGTCTGTGTGTACTCACGTGTGTCTGTGTGTACTCACGTGTGTGTGTCTGTGTGTACTCACGCGTGTGTGTCTGTGTGTACCCACGTGTGTCTGTGTGTACCCACGTGTGTCTGTGTGTACTCACGTGCGTGTGTCTGTGTGTAATCACGTGCGTGTGTCTGTGTGTACTCACGTGCGTGTGTCTGTGTGTACTCACGTGCGTGTGTCTGTGTGTACCCACGTGTGTCTGTGTGTACTCACGTGCGTGTGTCTGTGTGTACTCACGTGCGTGTGTCTGTGTGTACTCACGTGCGTGTGTCTGTGTATACTCACGTGCGTGTGTCTGTGTGTACTCACGTGCGTGTGTCTGTGTGTACTCACGTGCGTGTGTCTGTGTGTACTCACGTGCGTGTGTCTGTGTGTACTCACGTGCGTGTGTCTGTGTGTACTCACGCGCGTGTGTCTGTGTGTACCCACGTGTGTCTGTGTGTACTCACGTGCGTGTGTCTGTGTGTACTCACGTGCGTGTGTCTGTGTGTACCCACGTGTGTTTGTGTGTACTCACGTGCGTGTGTCTGTGTGTACTCACGTGTGTCTGTGTGTACTCACGCGTGTGTGTCTGTGTGTACTCACGTGCGTGTGTCTGTGTGTACTCACGTGCGTGTGTCTGTGTGTACTCACGCGTGTGTGTCTGTGTGTACTCACGCGCGTGTGTCTGTGTGTACTCACGCGCGTGTGTCTGTGTGTACCCACGTGTGTCTGTGTGTACTCACGCGTGTGTCTGTGTGTACTCACGTGTGTGTGTCTGTGTGTACTCACGTGCGTGTGTCTGTGTGTACTCACGTGCGTGTGTCTGTGTGTACTCACGTGCGTGTGTCTGTGTGTACTCACGTGCGTGTGTCTGTCTGTACTCACGCGCGTGTGTCTGTGTGTACCCACGTGTGTCTGTGTGTACTCACGTGCGTGTGTCTGTGTGTACTCACGTGCGTGTGTCTGTGTGTACCCACGTGTGTTTGTGTGTACTCACGTGCGTGTGTCTGTGTGTACTCACGTGTGTCTGTGTGTACTCACGCGTGTGTGTCTGTGTGTACTCACGTGCGTGTGTCTGTGTGTACTCACGTGCGTGTGTCTGTGTGTACTCACGCGTGTGTGTTTGTGTGTACTCACGCGCGTGTGTCTGTGTGTACTCACGCGCGTGTGTCTGTGTGTACCCACGTGTGTCTGTGTGTACTCACGCGTGTGTTTGTGTGTACTCACGCGTGTGTCTGTGTGTACTCACGTGTGTGTGTCTGTGTGTACTCAGTGCGTGTGTCTGTGTGTACTCACGTGCGTGTGTCTGTGTGTACTCACGTGCGTGTGTCTGTGTGTACTCACGTGCGTGTGTCTGTCTGTACTCACGCGCGTGTGTCTGTGTGTACCCACGTGTGTCTGTGTGTACTCACGTGCGTGTGTCTGTGTGTACTCACGTGCGTGTGTCTGTGTGTACCCACGTGTGTTTGTGTGTACTCACGTGCGTGTGTCTGTGTGTACTCACGTGTGTCTGTGTGTACTCACGCGTGTGTGTCTGTGTGTACTCACGTGCGTGTGTCTGTGTGTACTCACGTGCGTGTGTCTGTGTGTACTCACGCGTGTGTGTCTGTGTGTACTCACGCGCGTGTGTCTGTGTGTACTCACGCGCGTGTGTCTGTGTGTACCCACGTGTGTCTGTGTGTACTCACGTGTGTCTGTGTGTACTCACGTGTGTGTGTCTGTGTGTACTCACGTGTGTGTGTCTGTGTGTACTCACGTGCGTGTGTCTGTGTGTTCTCACGTGCGTGTGTCTGTGTGTACCCACGCGTGTGTCTGTGTGTACTCACGCGCGTGTGTCTGCGTGTACTCACGTGCGCGTGTGTCTGCGTGTACTCACGTGCGCGTGTGTCTGCGTGTACTCACGTGCGCGTGTGTCTGCGTGTACTCACGTGCGCGTATGTCTGCGTGTACTCACACGCGTGTGTCTGTGTGTACTCACGTGTGTGTGTCTGTGTGTACTCACGTGCGCGTGTGTCTGCGTGTACTCACGTGTGTCTGTGTGTACTCACGCGCGTGTGTCTGTGTGTACTCACGCGCGTGTGTCTGCGTGTACTCACGCGCGTGTGTCTGCGTGCTCACGCACGTGTGTCTGTGTATATGAGAGGAGCGGTGGCGTTGTGGTTAGCGCGCTGCGCTACGAACCCGCCGACTCGATTCCCGTTCATGACCAATAACATCGGTGGCGATTATTTGAATCGTTCCTGCTGCCTATCATGGGTTTATCTCAGCCTCGAATGCGTAAACATCGCCACTTGGGAGACAAAGGTGGCCGGGCGTGGTTCTGGCCACCCACACCCCCTCGTGTGCCGCTCATAGGTGCCACTCGCTAACGGCACTTGCCCCAGTAGCCTGTGCAAGGCTATACGGGGGATGTTTGTCTTTGCGTGTGTGTCCGTGTGTGGAGCTGGGAGGAGTCACCGGTGAGTGGTGGTAGTGGTGGCCGTGGTGGTGGCTAGGAGGGGCATAGGGAGTGGCGAGAGGAGGAGAGCGAGCGAGAGAGTCAGAGAGAGAGCGAGAGACGAGGAGACGGAGCGAGAGTCTGGAGTCGATCCGCGGGGATCTCGGTTCCCAGGATCCCGAGGCCAGGGTACCTAACAGGTGAGTCTCTGCTCAGCTTCTGTGTAATTCACAACAATCATAACACCATCATCACCATCATCACCATCATCCGCACCAACGCTTTGCACGTAGGGTGCGAAAGATGTTCAACATATATCTACACATCACCGTCACGACCACGATTGCCAACCACTGTCATTTTCGTCGTCATCATAGCCATCAATATTTGATTGAATTTAACTGAAATTTAACTAAAACCTCTTTTTTCTCAAAAAAATTCACGCGTTAGTCTCGATCGTCATGTTCCGGGACACGGAGAGACAGAGATTGACTCCGACACAGAGAGACGCCGAAATATACAAAGGGGGACACGGAGAGACACGGAGGGATGGGAAGACAACGAGGACACACACAGAGACACAGGGCGGGACAAAGAGACAGAGAGAGAGACAGAATACAGACCCTGTAAGACTGAGAGAGACGTGGGCTTCATGAGATCGGATACCAATGACAGTTCAACATTCATATACAATACCACATACCCTTAGAAATAAAAACGTAATTATTGTTAATAACATCAACAGCTGTTTGTCGATCCACTGCTGGATGGACACACCCCCCCCCTCCCCCCGCCCTCACGGCGTGTCGATCACGGCTGTTGTTTGACCATACTTCACCGCGCCGGTCACTGCGCGGTTCGGGCGAAGCCGACGAAGTGGACGATGAAACGCCGTCGGCGCCGCTTCGCAGGCGTCACTCGCCGCCCTCCGGTGTCCACACTTTGGGCCATCCGTTGAGACGGTGCGCGACAAATCTGTCAAGTCTTGAGCCCTCGCCGCCTCGCTGTACGGACGCGGACTTTTAACCCCACCCCCCCCCCCCCCCCCCCCGAAGCCTATAGAACGGCCGATATTTAATCCACACGGGAACGATCAAGGATGAATAATATTGACGTGTTTAAGCAAACTGATAGTCCACCGCCGGACTATCTAACTCATTTGAAGGCCAATGTAGACAAATTATTATCGAGGCTTCACTCCCCCCCCCCCCGTTTTCTATGTGTACATTGTCAGTAGACCCCCCACGCAATGCGTAACGTGCTAAATGGATGGCCCCTTAAGCGGTGGGCCGAGAATTCCACCTCTTGGCGGCCCCGGGGTTCAACGGGGGCAGCGCTGCCCTGCCGAGGCGCGCGTGTCGTGCTGGCGGCCCGCTATCGCGGTCCCCGAACCCCACTTAGGTCGACTCAGCATCAAATGAGTACGATAATTGTACTATCTCCCGGGGGGGGGGGCGTGTAAGCGAGCGTCGGCGCTGGGGGAGACAAAGGCGGCCTGAGTGTGAGGGTATCCGGACCTCACCGCTGCCATTCTGGTGCGCCGTGCGGAGATTGACGGCACTTGCCCCAACAGTCTACGCAGGCTATATGGGGCGTCTGTGTATATTGATGTGTGTGTGTTTGTGTATAAATATCTCATTCTGTCATCAGGTACGGTATAGCTTCATGGGGTAGAGCGGTGGCGCAGTGGTTAGCAGCACCGCGCTACGAACCCGGCCACCTGAGCTCGATTACCGGTCACGGCGAGTGAAATCTGAACCGGTCCTGGGGTCTCCATCCTTTTACCAACCCGCATTGACCAGCGTGGTGAAGTATGGTCAAAATAACCGATACGGCGTGGGGGGGGGCCTTTTTCAGCAGTGGATTGACAAAGGGCTGTTCATTACATCGTCGTGTAATGTCGATGTTTTATGTGACTGTCTATATATGTGTAATTATGTTGAACTTCTTTCGCACCGTACGTAGTCAACCGTGCTGATCGTCGGTGCGGCGGAACGACAACAAACGAAACACAAAAAGCAGTTCAAATTTTTTTTATTTTAAATCAAGATTATTATTTTAAAGTGCATAGCTCCAGCGACGTTCTAACATCGGAAGGAAGAGAGCGTTCCAGACGGCCGCGGAAGCGCATCTGACAGCGCTACGTCTTTGTTCGATGGCTAAGCAAAAATTTCGTGGATTTGTTATCGCTCCTCGACGAGGTATTGTGGTGCGAGGTATTGTGGTTCATTTGCGGCAAGCGCTTTGTGTGCGATGAGTTCGTCTGTATCTGTGTGTATGTTGATACAGTACATATCTCTTGCGCCGTTCTCGCCTTAATAGGTCCACGTTAACACCACTTGCCCCAACAGTCTATAAAGGCTACCCGGAGGATCGTTGTCTTTACCGCGCGCGTGTGCGCATATAATTATATAATTGGTGGGGAGCGGTGGCGCAGTGGTTAGCACCGTTGCGCTACGAACCCGGCGGACCCGAATTCGATTCCCGCTCACGACCAAAAACAGTTGCGAATTTGTGAACCGGTCGTAAGCCCTTCCCTCAGTCGACTCAAACTTAAATGAGTACCTGGTGCGTTGTGTAAAACATCAGCACTGGGGGAGACAAAGGCGGCCGGGAGTGGTGTTGGTCACCTCCCCCCCCCCTCGTGTGCCGTGCCGTGCCGGCCTTAACGTGTGCCTGCTAACACCACTTGCCCCAACAGTCCATTAAAAGCTATACGGTGGAACCTTTGTCTTTGTTTTACATATATGTGCAGACATACACACATAAGCAGACACATATGTATATGTGTGTGTTTACGGTCGCTAGCATCGTATGTTGAACGGTGAGAGAACAGGATGAGAAGCTTACTTAACATAGAGTCTATCATTAATAAATATAATGTCAGAACAAATTAATACGACACAAGTATACAATGTGTATGTATACAAATGAGACAATATATACACACACATCTATATATATTGCGTCTGAACCCGACCGTGTGCGGAGAGAGGGACGTTACGCTGGAACCACGTGGTAGCGCTGTCTGTTTCATCGACAGAGGCAGTGAGCCATGGGGTCTCTGTGTGAGTCTCTGTGTGAGTCTCTATGTGAGTCTCTGTGTGAGTCTCTAGGTGAGTCTATGTGAGTCTCTGTGTGAAGAAATCAGAGGGAGGGAGGCAGTCAGCCACGGGACTTTGTGCAAGTCTCTATGTGAGTCTCTAGGTGAGTCTGTGCGTCTCTATGTGAGTCTCTATGTGAGTCTCTAGGTGAGTCTGTGAGTCTCTATGTGAGTCTCTGTGTGAGTCTATGTGTCATTGTGTGAAGAAATCAGAGGGAGGGAGGCAGTCAGCCACGGGACTTTGTGCGAGTCTCTATGTGAGTCTCTAGGTGAGTCTGTGAGTCTCTATGCGAGTCTCTGTGTGAGTCTATGTGTCATTGTGTGAAGAAATTAGAGGGAGGGAGGCAGCCACGGGACTCTGTGTGCGTCTCTGTGTGAGTCTCTAGGTGAGTCTGTGAGTCTCTATGTGAGTCTCTAGGTGAGTCTGTGAGTCTCTGTGTGAGTCTCTAGGTGAGTCTATGTGTCATTGTGTGAAGAAATCAGAGGGAGGCAGTCAGCCACGGGACTCTGTGTGCGTCTCTGTGTGAGTCTCTAGGTGAGTCTGTGAGTCTCTATGTGAGTCTCTGTGTGAGTCTATGTGTCATTGTGTGAAGAAATCAGAGGGAGGCAGTCAGCCACGGGACTCTGTGTGCGTCTCTGTGTGAGTCTCTAGGTGAGTCTGTGAGTCTCTATGTGAGTCTCTAGGTGAGTCTCTATGTGAGCCTCTGTGTGAGTCTATGTGTCATTGTGTGAAGCAATTAGAGGGAGGGAGGCAGTCAGCCACGGGACTCTGTGTGCGTCTCTGTGTGAGTCTCTAGGTGAGGCTGTGAGTCTCTATGTGAGTCTCTGTGTGAGTCTATGTGTCATTGTGTGAAGAAATCAGAGGGAGGCAGCCACGGGACTCTGTGTGCGTCTCTGTAATACAGTAATCACATCAGTCACCGTCACAATCGCCCGTGTGTGTTTGTGTGTCTGTGTGTCTGTGTGTTTGTGTGTCTGTGTGTTTGTGTGTCTGTGTGTTTGTGTCGTGGGGAACGGTAGTGTAGCGGTTAGCACTACGCTGCGCTACGGACCCGGCGACCCGAGGGTCGACTCCCGCTCACTGCCAACACCGGTGACGATTACCTGAACCGGTCCTGGGTCTCCCCTAGGTCGACTCGGCCTCAAATGTGTACCCGGTGCGGTGTGTGGTAAACATCGCCACGAGGGAGACAAAGGCGACCGTGCGTTGCCACCCGTGCCGTACCGACCGTCATAGGTGCTACTAGCTCACAGCACTTGCCCCAACACTCGATACGGGGTATATATTTGCCTTTGACATCTATGTATATACATATGTGTTATGTACGTGCGTCTGCGTGGATACGTGTGTGTATTCGCATGTTTGCTTAAGTGTGTAGGGGAGGAGGAGTGGTGGCGCAGCGGTTAGCGCACTGCGCTGCAAACCCAGGCCACCTGAGTTCGACTCCTAGGCTACGACTAAAACAACAGCTGCGAGCGAAATCTGGAACTGTTCTGGAGTCCTCCTCTCCCCCTTTCGCCGGCGTTGGTGAAGCATGGTGTACATAATCCAGCTGTGGATTACAGAGGGTCGTACACTTTACACGATGATGATGGCGATAATGATGGCGAAGATGATGATGATGATGAAACTTGAGACCACACTGTGTTCACAAGCACCGTGTGAACGCGCTGTGGGTCTCAATTGTGTGTTCACGTGCACCGCGTGAACGCGCTGTGGGTCTCAGGTGTGTGTTCACGCACCGTGTGAACGCGCTGTGGGTCTCAGGTGTGTGTTCACGCACCGTGTGAACGCGCTGTGGGTCTCAGGTGTGTGTTCACGTGCATCGCGTGAACGCGCTGTGGGTCTCAGGTGGGTCACGTGCACCGTGTTCTGACATTATATTCAACCGTGAGCGCCTTTTGACGCATGCACACCAGGGGTGTTGAACTTCGTTTGCACCGGACGCAGCCATCCGCGCTCATCGGAGGTGCGGGCGGGCTGGCGGGCAAGGACAACACACTGAACACAAAAAATCAGTTCTGAAGAGTTTGTCATTCTCGGTTTCATAATATGGGAAGAGGCGTTCCAGACGGCCGCAGAAGCGCATCTAAATGCACCCCGCGATGCGGTGGCCACACAGCCTTGTGTTCCGTGGCCGACCGAAATCCGCCGGCTGCCGCCGCTGTTGTTGTTGCCGCTGCTGTTGCTGCTGCTGTTGTTGTTGCTGCTGCCGCTACTGTTACTGCTGCTGCTGTTGTTGCTGCTACTGCTGTTGTTGTTGCTGCTGTTGCTGTTGTTGTTGCTGCTACTGCCGCTGCTGCTGTTGTTGCTGCTGCTGTTGCTGCTGCTGTTGTTGCTGCTACTGCTGCTGTTGTTGCTGCTACTGCTGTTGTTGTTGCTGCTGCTGCCGCTGCTGTTGCCGCTGCTGTTGCTGCTGCCGCTGTTGTTGCTGCTGCTGTTGCTGCTGCTGCTGTTGCTGCTGCTGCTGTTGCTGCTGCTGTTGCCGCTGCTGCTACTGCTGCTTCTACTGCTGCTGCTCCTGCTGCTGCTACTGCTGCTGCTACTACTACTGCTACTACTGCTGCTGCTACTGCTACTACTGCTGCTGCTACTGCTACTACTGCTGCTACTACTGCTGCTGCTGTGAGGATGCCGACGGAGTTCGCGAAGGTCCACGAAGGGACGCGGTGACTCTCTGAGCGCCACGCGACTCACGCAGCAGCGGAAAAGAAAAAGTCGCGCCAATGTAAACATAAATAAATAGGAAAAATGATGAACTAATCATCGCTCGCTTGTTCAGGAGAGCCACGCTGAGGCGTTGTGTGTTATTTATTTGTAAGATGCGTTCAGCCGTCATCAACGATGTTGTCTGTGACACTACTGGGCATGTGATAAAGGAATAAAGAGCTTCGTAGCTCATCGGATTCCTGCAGTGGGAAATAAAAGATTCTCATTCTGAGTTGCGTCGATTAATCACGTGGGGTAGAGGAGGAGGAAGCCAGACAACCCAGAGAAAGCCTCACGCCTTGCGCGAGGGGGAGCAACGCTCTATCCCCGGATAGATGGAGACGAGACGGCGATTCGTCCACATTGTTGTCGTGCCGCCCTTCTCCTGGGTACGGCTCCTCCTCAACACCATCTGCGTGTGATCCACCAACCCCTCGCTGCTGCCTCCACTCTGCTCGTTCACAGCAGCAACGTGCATGGCGCTCACCTCATTAGGGCCACGCACGGTGACGTTATTGACGAGTGTGTTGCGTTTGTATCATCGTCTTCTGCATGAGCATTAACCTCGTTATAATCTCATCATCATCATCACAATCGTTGTCGTCGTCGTCGTCACGCTCCGCATTCTCCACTCGTCCTGACCCCGCCATGCCTCCCTTCTGTTCTCTTCCTGCCATCTTTCTCCCCAGTGATCATCATTGTGCCCGGCTGAATTCCTGTCAATGATCAGCATCGACTACTGCCTTCGTCCACCTCGTCAGCTGTAGTCTTCGTCAGTCACCGACCACCACCACCACGACCACCACCACCACCACGTCGTCAGAAGACCTCATCACCTCTCACCGACCTCGTCTTTGTCGACATCGTCGGCGGACGTCGTCAATTGTCGGTCTCCACCTCATCGCCATCATCATCAGCGTCGTCATCATCGTCGTCATCAGGAGTCATTGTTTTCATCGTCATCCTCAGCGGACCTCATTGCTCATCGATGTCGCTAATCGTCGCCATCACAATCGACGGTTAATCTTTGATCGTTATCAAGCGTCAGCTGACACCGCTACTCATCGATCATCGTCTCTGTCAGCGATTTCAATCAATCATCAATCATCGTCGTCAATCACCAACCATCGACCAATCAACCGCCAACCATCGACCAATCAAGGGCCAACCATCGACCAATCAACCGCCAACCATCGACCAATCAACCGCCAACCATCGACCAATCAACCGCCAACCATCAACCAATCAACCGCCAACCATAGACTAATCAACCGCCAACCATCGACCAATCAACCGCCAACCATCGACCAATCAACCGCCAACCATCGACCAATCAACCGCCAACCATAGACTAATCAACCGCCAACCATCGACCAATCAACCACCGACCATCGACCACCGACCACCGTCCCTGCTGCCGAGCCATGGAGCTGAGGCGCGGACCCCGCTCGCCCCTGGGTGCCGCACCCCGTGGTGCTCACGGGGGACCAAGGCGGCGGAGGGGTGGACCCGGGAGTCGGGGTGGTGGGGGTAGGGTTTGTGGGGGGGCCCTCGCACCCCCACGCTCTCCCTGCCGCCGCCGCTGTTTCTTCTCACTGCTTCGTGGACGCGGCTCAGCTGCGGGGCTCCGAGGAGGCGGGTGACGCGTTCCTGGGGGGCGCGGAGCAGCGCCGCACCCCCGTCGGGGGGCTCCTCTTCCCCGCGGCGGCGGGGCATGGAGGTTACCGCACCCCCACGCACGGTAGGGGATCACCTACCGACACACCCTGACACGCGTACCGACACACCTCGACACGCATACCGATACACCCCGACACGCGTACCGATACACCCCGACACGCGTACCGATACACCCCGACACGCGTACCGACACACCCCGACACGCGTACCGACACACCCCGATACATGTACCGACACACCCCGATACACGTACCGACACACCCCGACACGCGTACCAACACACCCCGACACGCGTACCTACACACCCCGACACGCGTACCGACACACCCCGACACGCGTACCGACAGCCTGGACACGGGCACCAGCACCCTGACACGGGTACCAACTCGAGTCGCGGGGTTTGTAACGCAGCGCGCTAACCACGCGCACACACAGACACACACCGATCCTCACACACCTACAAACACACCTGTGTCCCGTGACCCCAAAACCTACCCTGCGTACCCCGTCTGCGCCCCCCCCCCGGCCCCCAGTCCGCCAGGTGTGCCGGCCCCAGGTGCTGCATGGGGCCGCGCTGTCCACGTGGCTACAGGAGAATGGACGCGGCCTCTCCCCTCACAACGCGTGGAGCGCCGCGCACGGAGCCTTCGCGAAGCCCGGAGGCCTCATTAACCACACGAGCAGCAGCACATCAGCAGCGGCATCAGCAGCAGCAGCAGCGGCGGCAGCGGCGGCTCACGGAGGAATGTACGCAGGCGGGGGAGGTGGATCATCGCTATCTCATAGCCCCCTGGTCTACGGCTTCCCACCCACCCCGCCCAAAGACCCATCACCGCATCACCATCAGCAGCAGCACCAGCAGCATCAGCAGCAGCATCAGCAGCAGGGCCTCCACGTGGCGGCGGCGAGACGCGCGGACGAGTGCAAAGATTCGGAGGCGCTCAAACTGGAGTTGAACCCGGGTCACAGGAGCACCCATCATCACCATCCCATCGCCACGTACGCGGCGGCTTACCATCATCACCACCCTCACCATCCTCACCATCACCCCCACCATCACCACGCGCACCACCCGCTGGGAGAGGGCGCCCCCTCGCCGCACGGGGCCCTGGCCGCCCCCGCTCCCCTCTTCCACCCCGCGGACATCTACGGGGGGCCCGGATCGAGTTTCATCCCCAAATCAAGAAGCAAGAGCCGATCGGCCACGGGTAAGGGACGCGGACACCTGGGACCCTGGGGGGACCTGGACACGGGGACCTGGGGAACGGGAATCTAGTACACGGGAGGGACCTGGAACCTGAGACACGGGGACATGGGATATGGGGATCTGGGACCTTGGGGGGCACTGGGATACGGGGGGACCTGGGACACGGGGACCTGGGAACGGGAACCTGGTACACGGGAGGACATGGAACCTGGGACACGGGGGACATGGGATATGGGGATCTGGGACCCTTGGGGGCACTGGGATACGGGGGGACCTGGGACACGGGGACCTGGGGAACGGGAACCTGGTACACGGGAGGACATGGAACCTGGGACATGGATATGGGACACGGGGGGACCTGGGGAACTAGATGGAACTGGGCACGAGGACCTGGGGGACACGGTGAAATGGGACGTGAGACTTGGGACCTGGACAGGGGACATGAGACCTGGGACTTGTAGATCTGGAATTTGTGAGTCGTGGAAACAAATGTTTGGAGAGAGATGCCGTCAGTGATCATTTATTTTCCTGGATCAGATGGCACGAGGGTTCTGCATGGGATGAGTTGAGAGTTCTGTATTGGATGAGATGTGATCATGATGATGGTAATGATGAGAGATAATCAATTATGGTGGTGGTGGTGTTGGTGATGACACAAGATCAATGATGACGGTGATTATAAAATACAACTATTGCGGATGATAATGCAAGATGATTGAAGAGGATGATGACGATGAATAATTGACAATGATCACGACGAACGATCCGTGGATGATGACGACGACGGTCGTGATGATTAATGATGACGAACACGAGAGTGTGTGATTGTAAAGACGGTGATAATGAACTGCCATTGATTATATTCACGACAGATATTTAACGATTAAATTCATGATAAACGATGGTGGTGATGTTGAAAAAGAAATTGCTGCTGCAGAAATATGACGAGATCTCATTGATGATAATAGATCAGGGGAAAACCCCTATTATTACATTTTGGTACTGGCAAAGGAGGTCTAATGATGTAGATGCTCACCCTGAGCCCTCATTACTTTGATAGTGCATTGTCTTTGAGCTGTGTGACGCCTTTTGGCGTTCTCTGGTCAGCACCATTGGGTCGAGGCTCAAAAGAAAGCCGTCCCTTGGTGTGGATCAATCAGTTTCAAGGACAATGCATATATTATCATAGTATGTTTTTTGTTTGCATTTTGACTGCAGGTATTGTGGTTAATGCAGACATGAATCTTTGTAAAAAGGTTTCAGCTTTATTGCCATAAAAAAGGGAAAAACCCTATTATTAGATCATTGATTATGATGATTATGACGCAGTGATTTGATTGATGATAATAATAATGAAATATAATTGACGATGATACATCATACTGATACATAATTCATTATAATTGTAGATAATTTATGACAGATAAATAATTACCAAAATCAAAATATATATTTACACTGGAGGAATCCGATGAGCTATAAAGCTCTCTTTTTCCACAGGTGTCCAGTATGATAATGGGAATTTATTATAATGAAAGATAACTGATGACGATAGATAATTATGATGAAAGATAATTGAAGGACGATAGATAATTAATGCGAGATAATGATTTAAGATAATCGATTATAGATCATTAATGCGAGATCATTCATGATAGATAATTAATGCGAGATCATTGACGATATATAATTGATAATGATGGCTTGCGTGAGCAGTGCCTACGGCTCTCTACAGAGTCTCTGTGTGCTCAATGGTGATGCCACGAGGCGGCCGAGACGCGCGTTGCTCCCTGGCCGCACCACATGCGCTGCTGCTATCTCGCAAACGACGGAGCACTTGAATTTCGATTTAAAGCTTTGGTGACTGCAAGGACTCATCTTATTTGGTTCTCTCGGTAAAGTCACGCAGAATGAGAATAAAATAATAAATAACACAATAAAATTCTCACGACGTTTCGGCCACAACGCAAGCGGCCGAAACGTCGTGAGAATTTTATTGTGTTATTTTGTTATTTTATTCTCATTCTGCGTGACTTTACCGAGAGAACCAAAGAAGACGGAGCACTTGCCCCGCAACGACGGCTTGTCGAAGGCTATGCGGGGGACCTTTGTCAGTTGTCCTCGTGCCGTCCTCGTCGTGATCGTCGTCGTACGTTTCGCCTGATCGCCGCCCGTGTTGATCTCGTGGGCACGGACACACGGATGCGCGTGTGCCCGCGAAGGAGCTCTTTATCAACTAAACGGACATTTCCGATTGGGGGGGTGGGGGGGGGAAGGAAAATTGCGCGCCTCTTACGCCAATTTGGCCGTATATTTATTTATATGTTTTTGCTTTTAAAAACACGCACTTTTGTTTACATTAGATTGTTTTTTTTTCTCTCTCCAAATCAATCAAACGTTGTTGCTGGCTTGGTCGGTTATCAGGCTGACTGAGAGACGCTAGTTTTGCCAGATGGACAAAGGCAGGCACCACGGATCCGGGTTAACTACAACCACGCTGCGTCCAATTGCGGCGCTTACTTGTGCACGGTCATAATAACTTTAACCTCTGTGGACTACAACCACGCTGCGCCCTCTATCGCTTTTTAATTCCTTCCGTGAAAGGTTGCCTTATTCTGTCTTCCCGGGATCCCTCCCTCTGGACTCTCCGCTGTGCCTCCTGAATCTGGCCGCCAGTCAAGTCGCTGCCTGCAGCGTCGTCCTCTGTGTCTCCTGCCCTCATCCCACCCACAACTATACTCCCTCCGCTCTTTTCAACTTAATTTTTTTATCCGGTCACGCTTATCCAGTTTTCCAGGATATTCTACACGGGAGATCCGTGGTGCGTGAGCAGAGCAGCGACAAAACAAAGACAACAACATCTAATCAGGGTTCCCTCGCTTTATGCGGGTTCGGTTTGTGCTATTTCGCGTCTATGTGGCTCACTTATTTCTATACAAAATTGCGGTTTGAACTCACTCACATGCGGTTATGCGGTCGGACGTGTGACATCATTGTGTGTGTACTGTGTGTCTGTACTGTGTGTACTCTGTTCGTGTGTACTGTGTGTGTGTCCTATGTGTGTGTACTGTGTGTCTGTACTGTGTGTGTACTGTGTGTCTGTACTGTGTGTGTACTGTGTGTCTGTACTGTGTGTGTACTGTGTGTCTGTACTGTGTGTGTGTGCTGTGTGTTTGTACTGTGTGTGTGTTCTATGTGTGTATGTACTGTGTCTGTACTGTGTGTGTGTATACTGTGTGTGTGTACTGTGTGTTTGTACTGTGTGTGTGTTCTATGTGTGTGTGTGTTATATGTGTGTGTGTGTACTGTGTGTCTGTACTCTGTGTATGTTCTATGTGTGTGTACTATGTGTGTGTACTGTGTGTTTGTACTGTGTGTGTGTACTATGTGTGTGTACTGTGTGTCTGTACTGTGTGTATATACTGTGTGTGTGTACTGTGTGTGTGTACTGTGTGTTTGTACTGTGTGTATGTTCTATGTGTGTGTACTATGTGTGTGTACTGTGTGTCTGTACTGTGTGCGGTATTCGGAAGGCAGCTCTCTCCTCGTGCCGTGCATTGTGGGTTGGGTGTCTGTGCGTTCATTATTCCTGTTTCCACACTTATATCATCATCAATCAGCAGTAGCCATGATCAATCCACTGCTGGATGAAGGCCGTATGAGGGCCGTCGCCATCTCTCTCTCTCTCTGTCTCTCATTGTTTTTATTTTGGCTGTTTCCGTTGGGCCTCCTTCCATTTATTGATTTATCTCTTGGCATCTGAATAATTATTATTATTATTACGTTTGGGAGCAGCACACGTCGCGAGAAGGGATGATGATGGATCGGCGGAGAAAAATAAAAAAAAATATATAACAATTATTATCATGATAATCCTGTATAGCAGATGAGTTGGGGATCCTGTTACTGCGTTGAAAGTGGCGTAACAAGTACAACTAACAACAACAACCAAACTCGCTGCGAGTCAATGTGCGTATGTGTGTGGCCTTCAAAGTAAAATGTGTCGATAACAGGTGACGGCTCAAACCATGGTTATATGAAGAAAGGGCCACTGAGGAAGGGCCATTACCTGAAACGTCGCCGATTATATATTTGGTTATCCATTTCATGACGTACACAGTGTGGTTATTGGCAGATGTGCTGAGTTATTTTAACGATAACAACAACAACGGAATGGCAGCCAGGAGCGATGATGGAGTTGGAGCGTGCGCTAGTGCTGAGTGGACTGTTAGAACGCACGGTGGTAGTGGTGACTTGGGAGAGGTCGCCATCCAGCAGTGGAGTGACCATGGCTGATGATGATGAGGATCGTGAGAGGCGGCAGTCACTTGGGAGTGGTCGCCATCCAGCAGTGGAGTGACCATGACTGATGATGATGAGGATCGTGAGAGGCGACGGTGACTTTGGGGGAGGCCGTCATCCAGCAGTGGATTGACCATGGCTGATGATGATGATGTCGTGTAGCGAGGCGATGAGTTGGGGTTGTTGACAGACAGAGCGAGGAGTCTCCTGGCTAAGAGAAGAGCGGTAGATGAGGTGGGGGGGGGGGGGGGTGCAGGAGGGAGCGACTTTCGTTCGTTCGTTCATTTTGTCGTTCAACTCCCACGCAGAACTCGGCCGCGAGCGGTGACGATGTCAAGGAACGTTTCGTTCCGAACAAGGATCTGGGCTCACCCGTGCATCATTCTCGTGTCACTTGAGTGCAGTTTATTTACCGCAAGCCGTTACGATGACGACGATGACATTCACAAGTATTGGCCCGTGGTGGTGATGACGATGATATGATCATGATGAGGATGTTGATGATAACCATTACCATGCGTGATGATGGTAGAGTGTAAGGTCATGATGATGATGATGATATGGGTTCTGAACCGTGATGGTCATCACGGTAAATGTGATGATGAGAGCGGTTCACCGTGGCAGAGACGACGACGACGAACCGCTGCATAACTATGAACGCATTAGCTTATGACGCACGCACAAAAAAAGCCTGTTACCTTGTTAGTTCTAACACCTAAGAGTTGACAGGTGCGATGTCATCTAAGTGAACACGAGACTTCTTGCCGGTGAACACGTGCCACGAGACCCCGCCACAAATGAGCACGTGTCATACCTCCCCACTCCCGTCAGAGGGCCGTGAGTGTGTGAACTGCGGCGCGACCTCGACGCCGCTCTGGCGCAGGGACGGCACGGGCCACTACCTCTGCAACGCGTGCGGCCTCTACCACAAGATGAACGGGCAGAACCGGCCGCTCATCAAACCCAAGCGGCGCCTGGTGAGGGCGCGGCGCTGCATGTGTCTCTCACCGTGCGCCGTGTCGTCACAAGAAGAGACGCAGAGACACGTTGTGTGTGTGTGTCGTCACAAAGAGACGCAGAGACACGTGTGTGTGTGCGTCGTTACACACAGATACACGTGCGTGTGTGTGTCGTTACACAGAGACACGTGTGTGTGTCGTCACAAGGGGACATAGAGACACGTGTGTGTGTTGTCGTTACACAGAGACACGTGTGTGTGTCGTCACAAAGAGACGCAGAGACACGTGTGTGTGTCGTCACAAAGGGACATAGAGACACGTGTGTGTGTCGTTACACAGAAACACGTGTGTGTTGTCGTCACAAAGAGACGCAGAGATACGTGTGTGTGTCGTTACACATAAACACGTGTGTGTGTGTCGTCACAAAGAGATGCAGAGGCACGTGTGTGTGTCCGTTACACACAGACACGTGTGTGTGGGTGCGCGTCGTTACACAGAGACACGTGTGTGTGTCGTCACAAAGGGACATAGAGACACGTGTGTGTGTCGTCACAAAGGGACATAGAGACACGTGTGTGTGTTGTCGTTACACAGACACGTGTGTGTGCGTCGTTACACAGAGACACGTGTGTGTGTCGTCACTAAGGGACATAGAGACACGTGTGTGTGTGTCGTTACACAGAGAGACGTGTGTGTGTCGTCACTAAGGGACATAGAGACACGTGTGTGTGTGTGTCGTTACACAGAGAGACGTGTGTGTGTGTCGTTACACAGAGAGACGTGTGTGTGTCGTGACAAAGAGATGCAGAGACACGCGTGCGTGTGTCGTCACACAGGGACAGAGACCAATAACAGTGGCGAATATTTCAACCGTTTTGGGGCCTCTCCTAGATCCACTCAGCCTTAAATGAGTACCTGGTGCGGCGTGTAAACATCGCCACTCAGGAGATAAAAGTCGGCCGCGGGCTGTAGTGTTGGCCACACACACCCCCTCGTGTGCCGTTTCGGCCTTCATTGGTGCTGCCCGCTAACAGCATTTGACCCCAAACGGTGTGTTGAAGACTACACGGGGGATCTTGGTCTGTGTTGTGTGCGTGAAGTCTGCCGCCAGGCGGTCCGGGACTGCTTGCGCCAACTGCCTGACGAGCACCACCACGCTGTGGAGACGGAACGCGCACGGGGACCCCGTGGTGCAACGCGTGTGGACTCTACTTCAAACTCCACAACGTGCGTCGACACATACGCGCGTACACACATACAAGACACGGACAAATATCCCCCTTGTAGCCGGAAATACTTCTGGGACAAGTGCTGTTCGCAAGCGCCTATGAAGGCCGGCTTGACACGCGAGGGGGGTGCGTGACCAGCGCCACGCCATGACCGCCTTTGTCTCCCCAGTGGCGATGTTTTTATGCAGCCTACCAGGTACTAATTTGTGGCTGAGTCGACCTCGGGGAGGCCCTGAACCAGTTCACCTACATATAACAAAGACAAAGATCCCCCGTATAGCCTTAACAGACTGCAGGGGCAAGTGCTGTTAGCGAGCACCTATGAAGGCCGGCACGGCACACGAGAGGGTGGTTGGCCAGCACCACGCCCGGCCGCCTTTGTCTCCCCAGTGACGATGTTACCACACCACACCAAGTGCTCATTTGAGGCTAAGTCGACTTAGGCGAGGGCTCAGGAACGGTTCAGATAATCATCACCGGTGTTCACCGTGAGCGGGAATCGAACTCGGCTCGCTGGGTACGTAGCCCAGCACACTAACCGCTACAATGCCGCTCTCCACACGTATATACGCATACTTAAATACACATATATACACACATAAATATCGATATAGACACAAAAGTCAAATACAAAATCCGCCGTAAAGCCTTAACAGACTGAAGGAGCAAGTTCTGTTAGCACGCACCTCCAGACACAACGACATGTACACGCACATATAGCGTATAGAAATGAGACGTAATTTGCCACGTGATGTACATGATTGTTTCTGCCCACTTCACAGCGGTAAGTTGAAGAACAATCGTCACGATAAATTGTAGCAGACGAAATACATACGACCCTTTGTTTGGCTATGGCAGGATGGTGGAGGGTTTCACGAACACAAATTTGGCCGGATATTTTATTTGCGTGACCTAACCCAAAAATAATTTTCAACGATGAATCGTAATTCTGTCTGCGAAACAAAGCCGCTCGTTAAATCGCCAAATTTATTAACTTGGTTCATTTCATTGACAGGTGAACCGACCACTCACCATGAAGAAAGAAGGAATTCAAACACGAAATCGCAAGATGTCCAGCAAGAGCAAAAAGATGAGGAGGAGTGGCGCTGACGGAGCCCTCAGTGACCCCGAAGATCTGATGATCAAGAACTACCATCACCATCAGCAGCAACAGCAACTCCATCACCACCACCAGCACCACCACCATCATCATCAGCAGCAACAGCAGCAGCAGCAGCAACAGCAGCTTCTCCAGCATCATCAACATCATCAGCAATCATCTCCACCACCACCAGCATCATCACCAGCATCAGCAGCAGCATCATCAGCAGCAGCAGCAGATGGACAAAACATTGCCCGTGGGTTGGGATGTCTCACCTGGGAGTGGGACACCTGGACACGGCGATGCACGGACAACCTGGGCCACCTTGGGCAGCTGGGACAGCTGTCTCCGTTCGGTTCCCCCGTGGCTCACGCCCACGCGGGCCTACCCTTCGTGTCGCCACACCACGCCGGCATGATCACGGCCATGGGGTAGCGGTGGAGAAGACCGTAAGGGAGTACGTCTGTGTGTTTGCCTGTCTGTGTGTGTGTCCGTGTCTTTCTCTGTCTATCGACCTTTGTTTGTGTATCTGTCATTGTGTGTCCGTATGTCGGTATGTGTCTGTTCATCTTGTTCGTCTGCGTCTGTCCGTTTGCATGCCTGCCCCTACGTCAGTGCATCTGTCAGTCTGCGTGTTTCTCTGCGCATGTTTCTGTCTGTTTGTACGTCTATCAGTCTGTGTGTAAATCCATCTGTGTGTCAATCCATCTGTGTGTCAATCCATCTGTCGGCCTCAATGTCTGTCTGTCTGTACATAAGTCTCTGCGTGCGTTTGTACATCTGTGTGTCTTGGGCCGCTTTCTTCCGAAAGGAAAGTAACTCCTTCACCACCTTCTTCACCACATCACCATGACACTCCCATCACACGACCACCAGAGCCTGCAACATCACCATCACACCGCCATCACGGCGTGCAACATCACTACCGCTCTTCCATCACACCGCCATCAGACTGCACGCACAAATGCATCGGCACATTCGAGCTGCATTGTGTTCGCTCCGCTGTGTGTATCCCTCGAGGCGAGCCAACTCGTCCTATGTGCCGGGTCAATCTTCCCAATCGCCCCCCCCCCTTATTTCTTGTCCCCCCTTATCCCTGTCCCCCTAACCCTGCCCCCCCCTTATCCCTGCCCCCCCCCCCTTTATCCCTGCCTCCCCCTTATCCCTGTCCTCCTAACCTTGCCCTCCCCTTATCCATGCCCCTCCTATCCCTGGGCCCCCCTTATCCCTGCCCCCCCCCTTTATCCCTGCCCCCCCCTATCCCTGGGCCCCGTCCCCTCCACCCGTTTTCCGCACTCACCACTCACCCAGACATTTGTACACTTTGAAACGTTATTTTATGCAACATAGTTCTTATTTAAACAACAAAAATATACTTTTTGGTTGAATCACCACAATTCAGTCATCATTATCGTTAAGTATCACTTATACCGATTGTTTCCCGACGCAATTACAAAGTTAAATATATGTTTTACGTTAATATCGTCTGGACTGCTACCCACTGTGGTGGTTAAGGGGGTCTGCTGCATTGGACTTGCTATGCAGATTGTTCCGCCCGTTCGATTCGATCTCCGGGCGCGGCAGGAGTTTAAGCGATGGGGCGGGTTCACGACAAACCCCCCCCCCTCCTCCCACGCAACATCTTTGTTGTTATCCAGCAGTATTCCGTGGGTTCGCCCGCATGTTCAGGTCGACCGGCAGCAGGTCTCGTGCGGTGGAGGGAAGCGTGGCCCTCCCGTGGAAAAGTCGACCACAGAGATGCCACTCTGGAGAGGGGGCAGCCAGGGCAGGGACTCGCTCCCAACTCGGAGGACTCCCCTCTCGCCCGCATGAGTCGGCAAAACTAAATAACAAGAAGTGGCAATTTGTTTTCGAATTCGGTCAAATAAAAATAAATAAATAAAACCTTCTCAATAAATGTTTCAAGAACCTCGATGCACGTGAATATGTCAGAGATTGTAATCACTACCAAACGATACTCACCTAATGTGGTGGACACGGAGCGACAAGGATAATTATCACGAAGTAAACAAAAAATAACAATGCCCCCCCCCCCCCGATTGGTAACTTGACGGGGCCCTGCTAGGGGGATTGTTTAGAGGCAGGGCAATGGAAGGGGATTTTGGAGGGAGAAATGCAACGGGGAATGAGCGGGAGACGGAGGATGATTGACAGGGAGGCTGGGTTGGGATCCGTTGGAGTATGGAGCCATCCATTTAGTACGTACGCATGGAGGGGGAGGGGGGTTAATCCAAATGCGTTCGCTTGCGTATGGGGTGTCTACTGACAATGTACGTACGCATAGGAAACGGGGAGGGGGGGGTGAAGCCCTCGATAATTTGTCGACATTGGCCTTCAAAAGCTGAAGACACTGAAGACAGTTCAGTGTCTTCAGCTACCGGGAGAAGTGGGACTGTGGGAGAGGTGCCATTCGTGTGTCACCGTGTCCCCCTGACTGCAGCTATCACGCAGCTCAGCAAAATAAGTGGCCAAGGTACGCAACTGAATTATTTAATGCAGCCGGCGGTGGACTATCTCTTTGCTTAAACACGTTAATATTATTAATCCTTGATCGTTGCTGCGTGGATTAAATATCGGCCGTTCTATAGTATTCGGGGATGGGGGGGGGGGGGTCAAGCGTACATACGCAAGTGGTGGGGGGTGTAAAAAGTCCGCGTGCGTACAGGGAGCGGGGGGAGGGGTCAAGTCTTGACAGATTTTTGCGTACCTCCTCAATGGATGGCTGGAGGGAAAGTGGAAGGACAAGGAACCTTCGAGTAAGGGGGCTAGAGGGATATATACAATTGGGGGGGAGGGGGGGAGGTGGAAACGCGAGAGTTTGGGGACGCTTGGAGCGAAGGGAATCCTTGAAGAGCGTGTCCAGTGCCCGGGGTGTCACCACAAATACCTGCGGTACATCGACTCCGTCACGAGGGAGTCCGTGAAGAGAGCCCCCTTGCTTTAGCCGAGGGCCTTCAGCTGGCAGTGTTGCGAGCAAGCAAGTCACAGGCCTACGGCTTTTACCTATTACGTGATGATAATAATATTAGTATGGTTGTTATTTCGATTTGCTGCTGCTGCTGTTGTTGCTATATCAGCCCGTGAGCGCGATGGCTGTGATGTCTGTGTCCAGCTGTGGTGCATTGCTACAGTATACGTTACAGTATGTATGCACTGCATTTTGTAAACTGCAATAGCCACATTAAAGTTGTTTGTATTCCTCGCTGGAGTTCGCGTGTGCTTCACTCGTGCTCGGTGCGCCTTGACTGCGTTAACATCGCCATTACACCATAACAGTGAGTGGTGCAACATCACATCACACTGCCATCATCACAGCGTGCAGCATCACATCAAACGGTGGCGAGATGTTAACTCCCTCGCCTGGTATGCAGTCAATTCGTGGGTTCGATCCCGACCCTGACCCCTGTTGTATATTTGGAGTTTGCGGTGTCTCTGTCTCTGTGGTCGCGTGGATTGTCTCCGGTTCCCTCGGGGTTTCCCTCCACATTTTAGAATAAACATCACACGTTTAGAGTGTTTGGCAGCTATACATTTCCACGTGGTGATAAGCCACTTCGTTGAGCTATCATTTGTGGCCAGCTATATAGCTCTTATGAAAACGTGCTATATATCTCAGTGGGCTCTTACCTGATAAGATAGAATGGTTTAATCGTTTCAGCCAGTGCTTTTTAAAACTTTTACTGCAGCTTTGCACCCCTTTGATTCTCAATCGTAATTTTTTTATGTTAATAAATACATAGAGGGTTTAATGAAACTAAGTAGTTGCACTCACGTGCCCGTGCTTAATTTGCGTTTCGATTATTTACCTTCGAAAAAAACATCTGGCCATCTCTCGCACCCCCAGAAAGGGCATCTCACATCCCGGCGGGGAGGGGGTGTACGTGCACTCCACGTGAAGAAGCACTGCTTGAAACTATCGTGCTATGTGTACGGGTGCACGGTGCAGTCCACTCGTAGAGGGCAGTCAACCCCTCCTGCGGGTGGGTTGAAACTTCCCGACAGATCCCGCCTCTTCCCACTCGGCCACCGCTCCCTTGTGTGGCAAGCAGCCAGCCAGTGAGCCCCAAGTGTGCTGCCGACAATTTCCAAAGCTCTGGAATCCTCTATACTGTATATATGAGGACGCTTCCACAGCCAACTAATTGAGCGTCGCGCATACATCGATAAAGATATAATGTTTCTCAATTTGAATCCGCGTTTGTTGTCGGCGTCAGATATTTATTATCTGGCAACCCTTCTATAAAGCAGTGCATTATGTTGTGGCAGAGAGCTGCACGTGGACGATGACATTGCAGAACTACTTCTGAAAGGTCATTTCAATCGCGGTCCTTATCCACACTCGGTGACGTCTCGGGCAATTTCCCTTCTTGCATATCCACATACATCACATGCATGTTTGTTGAACACCTTTCACACCGTGCGTAGCCAACCGCGCTTATCGGAGGTCTGCTATTATGAAGAAGCGTCATTGCCCGAAACGTCGTCTCTGAAATATTTGTTTTAAGGCCAGACTACAGTACGATTGGACACGTGTGTTGAGTGGTGTTGTTGATGTTTAATGATGAAAGCCGGCTTGGTCAATAGCGGTGTTAACATATTTACTGACATAACGTGCGCTCTCAAAGTCCGGGATTTGGAACTCGCAGAATTCGCTCCTCCACTGTTTGGTGGGGGGTGGGGGGGGCGCCACTTGAACGCTGGTTGTGTTCGTGATGCCTGATGATGCTGATGATCATGATGGAGGGCGATGGGGTTATTGTCGGTAAGGAAGGGGTGGGGGGGGTGGAGGGGCGGGGTGAGTGCGGGTAGATGTTGCAGACGAGCTGGAGAGAGAGGGAGGGAGGAGGGAGAGGAAAGGGCTCCGTGAATGGAAGTCTTTGACAGAACTTTTTGATTCCGTCCACACGGATTCGCGTGTCCCCCCCTCCTGCTCCGTGTTTTCCGGACAACCCATCTGTCCGCTGTCCACCAACCCCCCCCCCCCCAAATGTCCCCCCCCCCGCCATCCCCCCCCCCCCAACCCGCCCGTGCTATCCGATTGTGCTATCGGGGTCGTCGCGTACAACTCAGAGCAGTGCAACAAGCTCCGTATTGGAGAACGGCCCGCGGAATGGGATACCACAGAGTTACCTCTGAGGTCACCTTCTCCAAGTCACCTCTGGTCCACGCCGTCATGTGGGAAGCGCTTCTCCCGGCCACTGAGATTACTGCTCGTCGCATGCCACACCAACCCCGATGTGGGCACTGTATGCATCTATAATAAAGGTTTTTGGGTTAGATAGCGGAAGTCTAAACGTGTATTACCTTTGAATCGCCGCACCTTTTGAGGAACGCCAGTGAAACACATACATTTTTACACGCTTAATGCGGAGTTTCAACCAATTTTCTGGTTTAAAAAAAAAGTATCCACCCCATAGAGGTTAGTCAGTTTAACACGTAAGCTTTCGCGGACGAATATTATTCATAATAAAGGTTTGTGGTTAGATCGCGTTAGTCTAAATGCGCATTACTTTTCTTAAAACCAGAAAATTTGTTGGATCTCCGCATCAAGCGTGTAAAATGTATGTCTTTACCTGCGGTCCTCAAAAGGTGCGGAGATTCAAAGGTAATACACGTTTAGACTTCCGCTATCTAACCCAAAGAACCTTTATCATGAATAATATTGGTCGCGAAAGCCTACGTGTTAAAACGTACTGTGCGCACGTTGAACTTCTTTCGCGCCGTACATAGCCAACGGCGCTGATCGAAGGTGCGAAGGAAGTTTTAATTCCAAGGAGTGGAGCTGAGCCACCTTTAGGTGGAGAACCGATTGCGCAATGGTTTTTTGTTTAGCCCACTGATGTTCAACCGGGCTGGAGTGGGTGGGTGGGGGGGGGGGCGTTCGTGCCCCCACCAACAACCCCGCTCCACGCACCCCACTTCGATATGTGGCCCCCCCCAAAAAAAAACAACAACACTAAAATGCGGCGACTTGAAGGAGAGGGCCTTCATCCAGCAGTGGATCGATCGCGGTTGACGGCGATAATGATCTGGGTGGGATGGGGTGGGGGGACGTGCCGCCTGGACCAGTCCTGGGTGCTCGCACACCAACCCAGAGCTTCTCTC